AGGGGTAGGCAACCTTTTTGAGCCGGGGGCCGGTCCCCCGAAGTCGCCCCTTCCGGCAGGCCGAGGGGGGGGAGAATGGCGAGCGCGCGCGCAACCCCCCCACCATGTGCGATCCCCCTGCGTGCGCTGCCTCCACTGCACACACTGCCGCCTCCAGGCATGTTGCGGCCGCCATTTTGGAGAACAAAATGGTCGCAGCGCATGCGGCCGCATGGCGACCAAAACGTGCGGTGGCGGCAGCGCACAGCAGCGGCAGGGGTCCGCCTGGGCCGGTAAGTGTGGGGCCCGGGGCCGGAACCGGCCCGTGGGGCATAGGTTGCCAGCCCCTGGCCTGGACAGACTGCCAGAAATAATGCAACTAGAGTCCACTTTAACATCCCTGGCTCAGTGCTAGGGAATCATGGGAACTGTAGTTTCTTGTGTCCCCAGAGCTCTCTGGCAGAGAAGGCTCAATGTCTCAGAAAAAAATACATGTCCCATGATTCCCTAGCACTGAGCCAGGGCAGTTAAAGTGGTCTCAAACTGGATTATTTCTGGCAGTCCATTCAGGCCCTAAATCAACGGGAACAATGCCCCAGAGCTGCTACTTTATACACATGCTCCTAGAAATGATCATGTATAAGAGAGCAGTTTTGTTTGCCACTAACTTCAGCTTATTAACCAAGAAGTACTGTAATCAAAAAGGTTAATTTTTTTGTTGTTGTGTGGCCTCAAATTATTTCTGATGAAACTTTCCAAGAAAACCACATTATATATAGGTTCGCCGTAGGGAGGCCCTAAGGCAAATCTATATAGTGGGGTTTTCTTGGCAAGTTTCTTCAGAGGGGATTTGCCATTCCCTCCCCCTGAGGCTGAGAGAGTGTGACTTTGCCCAAGGCCACGCAGTGGGTTTCCATGCCCAAGTCAGGATTCGAACCCTGGTCTCCCAGAGTCATAGTCTCAACACTCAAACCACTGCGCCACACTAGCTTTCAAAGTCTTAATCACCCTATTTTAATTGATGTTGCTAATTGCTGATTGGTCTCTATAGCCGCCTCTCTTTTGCTATGCTCATTCTGATTGGCGCTTCCATGCGCTATACCCGCCTCTTCGTTCATTCCAATGTTCCGCTCATTCTGATCGACGCCTCTCACATTGCCAACTCTTTTCGCTATGTCTATTTCTGATTGGCTCTTTCCCTCGCTATACCCGCCTCTCTTTGGCTATACTCATTTCTGATTGGCGTCTTTCCCGGCTATACCCGCCTCTCTTTTGCGAGGTATTCTCCCCCTCTAACAGAAAGAGCGGTTCAAACCGTCACTCTCACCTTGGCGCCTCTCATTTGCTATGCCCTTTCTGATTGGCCCCTTATGTCACATTACCGCCTCTCTCTTTTGCTATACTCATTTCTGATTGGCGCCCTCTCTCGTTATAGAGCCCCTCTTCTGCTATACCCACTTTGATTGATGTCTTCTTTCACCTTGCAGCCTCTCTTTTGTTATATCCACTCTGATTGGTCTCTTCTCTCATATTACGCATTCTGACTGGAGCCTTCTCTCATGCTCCCGCCTCTCTTTTGCTATACCCACTCTGATTGGTCTCTTCTCTCACATTAACCATTCTGATTGGTGTTTTCCCTCCTATTACAGACTCTTTTGCTATTCTCATTTCTGATTGGTGTTTTCTCTCCTATGACCGCCTCTTTTTTTGTTATGCTCATTTTTGATTGGCTCAGAAATGAGTCTAGCCAAAGAGGCGGCAAGCTGAGAACGACGGTTTGATCCGCCCTTTCGAGAGTCTATAAACACCAATTTCATTGGTTAGTTCTGGAAAGTCGTAGAAACCAATCAAAAGCAGCGTATAGGAGGCGACCAATGAAAAGACGACTACCTTAGAAGTCCGGGTGGAGAATATAATAGCGCGCGCTGGAGGCGAATTTCTTTCTCTGAGGATCTCTCTGAGGGAAAAAGCAGTGCTTGTTAGGAGAGGGAAAGGCGCCATTTTCTTTAGTGTTTTAGCTCTGAGGGCCGTTTGTTTCCCTCATAACTCCACAGAATCCGCTGATATTTCCGTTGGAGAGGCACAAGGGCTCGATAATACAATTTCCATCCTTTTTTTGTTTGTTTGGTTTCCATGAGGTGAGTTTTATCCCTTCAAAAGGGTTGCCAGCTATTGCTGGCTTGGCACAGTTTCTGCTTTATGTATTTTTGTTGTGCAGTTATGAAAGGAGACTGAGGTCCAAAACACACTGCAGAAATAATCGGCTTTGAGGCCGCTTTATCTGCCCTGGCTAGAGAATTTTAGGGTTTATAGTTTTGTGAGACGTTTAGCCTGCTCTGTCAGAGAACTCTGGGGCCACAATAACTACAATTCCCAGGATTCCCTGGCTCGGTGCTAGGGAATCCTGGGAAAACTAGCTTATTGCGGCACCAGACGTCTCGCAGAGAAGACTATCTCACAAAACTAAACTTCCCAGAATTCCCTAGCATTGACCCAGGGCAGTTAAAATAGTTTCAAACTATATTATTTCTGCAGTGTGTTTTGGACCCAAGCCCTACATGGTATGTACATTATATGTTCTAAAAACATTTATTTTTTAAAAAGGCTAGCCAAGTTGACCAGAAGCATCCTCCATTTCTGCCTGGAGGAATTTCCAAATGACCTCCATTTTGAGCAAGTCCAAGATTTAAAATTGTTCTTTACTAACAACAAGGCCTTGGCTAAATCCACATTTAAATTGCTCCTTTTCATTTGTCCATTGTGCTGAAATTCAAGAAAGAACCCTTCCAACATTTGTATTGAGGACATGCTGACCAGATGTCCTCCTTTTCCAGGACATGTCCTACATTCCAACATTTGTCCAGGAAGAATATCAAAAAGTCATCCATTTTGAGCATGACAATGAAGCATGAGTGTTTAACTTAACTTTGGTAATGCCTTCCACTTTTCTTGAATGTCCTACATTTTGTGGTGCCCTGTCCTCCTTTGCAGTTAGGACACCTGGTCGCTATGAAGTTTGTGCTTTGCATATGGACAAAGGTGTTGCCATCTCTAGCACAAGGCTGAGGTCCAAAACACACTGAAGAAATAATCGTTTGAAACTGCTTTAACAGCCCTGGCTCAGTGCTTGGAAATCCTGGGAATTGTAGTTTATTGTGGCACCAGAGCTTTCTGACAGAGAAGGTTGAAAGTCTCAAAGTAAACTTCCCAGAATTCCCTAACATTGAACAAGGGCAGTTAAAGGGGTCCCAAACTGGGTTACTTCTGTAGTGTGTTTTGGACCTAAAGCTTTTCTTTAAAAGGTTTGAAGCCAGGATGACGACTTCCTTTTCCAAGACAGGTCCTCCATTTTCACCTATCCAAGAGGAATTCCAAAATGTCTTCCATTTTGAGCATGACTAGGAAGCCCATTGAGTAACACCACATGTGCTGTTCCTCTTCGAGAAATGTGTCTACTTGACATCCTGTCCTCACAGCAAATGGAAGAAATAGGATTGATCTTTCTAAAATTCTTTTTGTCCCAGGAACAGCAACAGAGAAGGGTTGCACCCAGAGCTCAGAATATGTTTTGTTTTGGGGGGGGAGAGAGAAAGCAAACCTGTTAGACAATGGGCTGCTTTGGGATAGAATGACCAGATGAACTAACTGCGAAGGAAGATCAGCCACTGCAAAATGGAGGACAGTCAATAAAAATGGAGGGCCTATTGAAATACTTCCTGGATAGAAGGTTGTAATGTAGGACATGTCCTGAAAAGGAGTATGTCTGGTCGCCCTGGGTCAATGCAAATGTTGAAAGGGTTCTTGCTTTAATTTCAGCACAATGTACAAATAAAAGGAATAATTTAAATGTGGACTTAGCCAAGGATTTGTTGCTACTAATGGACAATTTTAAGCCTTTGCCTTGCTTAGAATTCTGCAAATATATTGGAAGCCAAGAAGGTTTCTTAACATAGGTGAGTTGATCATAAAAATAATAACATACAGTATATGTAATACAGCTGTGAGTAAACTGCGTGAAATGAACTTATATTACAGTTTCTGGCTTCTATTTTGCAGTGCCCTCCATTTTTCTTGAATGTCCTACATTTTGTGGTGCCAGGTTCTCCTTTGCGGTTAGGATATATGGTCACGCTACTACCAATGTGTTTCGGCCTTGTCACCCACTGGCCTCCTTGGCTGTTCTGAAACAAAAACAATACTGTACTATAGCAAATCTGCTTTTCTTTATTTCAGAATAGCCCCTGTAGAAGGCCAATGGGTGGCAAGGCTGAAACGGGTTGGCCTTTTGGTACATCTGCACTGTAGAAAAATAATGCAGTTTGATACCACTTTAACTGCTCTGGCTCCATGCTACAGGAGTAGTTTTGTGAAGTACCAGCATTCGAATTGGTTAGAGACCTTGTAAAACTAAAGATCCCAGGATTCCATACAATGGAGCTACTGCACTTAAAGTGATGTCAAACTGCATTATTTCAACAGGGTAGATGCACCCTTTATCTCCTTTCATTCTTCCACTGTGAATAATGTGCTTTCTAGTTTTTTGTTTTGTGATTCTTCTGCAGTGTTTTATGAACGGTTCTGGATCTCACTGTGAGAGAAAGGTGAGATATAAATCTTTGAAATAAATAAATACATGAGAAAATTTCCCATTTTCTGATTTGTTTGTTTAAGTTTGCTGTTTTGAATGAATGAATATAGCTTGATAACTGCTTGCATTTTCTTAGCACCAGTGCCATGAGGCTTTTGTAAAACGGCCCTACTCAAATTGTAATAGGAATGGCTAGTTCCACTACTAACAACATTTTCTTGGCTATTAATTGCATACCAGCTCCTTTCTTGCAGACCCAGGCAGGCAGGCAGGAATAGCTAATTTGCTGAACTGATTAAGAACACTCAAACCACCATGCTGCATTTTAACACTGGTTTTGCACGCCTGGAGGTGTCCCTAGACTTTGCAGATTGGATAGCATCTGGAGTTCTACTGTTGCTTGAAGATGCATCCCCTTACTCTGTTTTCTGCAGCTGCAGTTTTCTTTCTATTACTAACTTTCAAGTCTATGAAGGCTGCTCAGCTAAATTTTGCAGTGTTGTAACACATTTCCAAGTATGAAGTGAGTGGGCATGATTCCTAGTTTGACAGGTCAGTATTTCAACTTGGAATAACCAAGTTGGCATGAGAGCTCTATAAGGTTCTATGCATTGAACATAGAATAGCTGTTGTATCTGTTTTATACTGTATAAGTGGGTATGGGTGTGGTATGTATCTTAGCTGCTGAAAGGAATGACAGTGGCACAGCCAATAATAAAAACCGTGGTGTGTGTGTGTGTTTTGTTTGTTTGTTTGTTTGGCTGTTCACATCTGATGCACTATAATTTTTTTAAGTCTAATGTTTTTAGTTTAAAGAAGACTGTTTCTAATTTTTTGTGTGTTTCCTTAGGAATTAATTCCTCCCTGAATGAGGCACTTTGGCTGTGGGAGTCCCAAACTTCTTGAGGTGCATTTTTTGTTGTTAAAACTTCCTTCAACATAGGTTTTTGAAGACCCCCATTCATGAGTATCATGAAAATGAGTGCATTTTATGAAAGCATACTGATAACTGTTGCCCTTCCTAGGATCTTTAATGTGTGACCTTTAAAAGGCACAATTTAAACATACTTTTGTAAGTCTCTTAAGCATTGGCATTGGAGGTAGTATCTCTGCTGCTTTTACCCTGGTGTCCAATGATTAAAACTCTTTGCTGTTCACATCATGATTTGCTGTGATTATTATTTCTTTAAATGAGGACACCACATTTAAAGTTATATATCAGATTCTTGACTATAATGTAATTTTGCTTGGAGAAAAGAATACAAAGAGTACTTAAAATATATGATCAAAAATTTTTTCCTGTTTTTCAGGCATCAGGATACTTCCAGGATAACCAGGTAACTGAATGGTCTAATTTAAATCAGCAAAAAATACTAGTTTATGTGGGGACCCATTGGTCTGA